ATAACGAGTGAAAGAATTAATGAGTGTATGAAAAGATAGATGAATGAATGTATGGATGGATGGATGAGTGGACGGGAAAACAAATGAAAGATTGAATGAATGAACAAATAAATGGATAGGTTGGTTGATTGAGGGATAGATAATTGAATAAATGAGCAATGAATAAATAAATTAATTAATTAATAGACGAATGAATGATTGAATGAATGAATGGGTGGATGAATGAACGAATGACTGAATGTATGATAGAATGGAGGAATAAGTGAATAGAAGATGAATAGATGGATGGTTGGATGAATGGGGGATACATGGATGTAAGAATAAGTGCTCGTGTGTTCGAATATTTGGGTGTCAAAAAAGTGTGTATGAAAGAAAGGGACTGGAAAGAGACAGAGAAAAGAGAGAGAGCGAGAGAGAGACAGAGAAGAGAGAAAAAGAGAGTAAAGAAAGTAGAGAGAGGAACAGGGACGGATTGAAAAAAAAATAGGTAAAACAAGTTGAGAGTGAATGTTGAATAAAAAAAGAATGAAGAGGAAGCCCTAAAGAGAAAAAGGAAAAGGAAGAAAAAGAGAAAGAGAGAAAGAGAAAGAGAGAAAGAGAGGGAAACAGATTCAGAGAAAGACATATTGTACAGGGAAAAAAATAAGAGAAAGAAGCTTAGAAAAGGAAGTGATTTTTTAGTGAAAAATTTCTTGCATTTAAAAAGTTTATTTTTAAATGCAAAAAGAAAATTAGTGCATGTGGGAAAAAATGAATTGTAAAGAAGAGAGGTAGCTTTAGAGATGAAGGAAGAGAGAGAGAGAGGGAGGGAGAGAGAGAGAGAAAGAGAGAGATGGAAAGAAAGTGGAGGGAGAGAGAAGACAGACAGAGCGAGAAAAAAGAGGAAAGATGAGAGATAGTCAGAAATAATAATGGTATGGAAAGGAAAGAAAATAATGAAAGAAAGGAGAGAGAGAAATAAAAAGAGAGATATGAGAAAAAGAAAAATAGAAGTGAGAAGATGATATAGAAAAGAAGAAAGAAATACTGAAAATTAAAGTTTTAAAGTTTTTTTTCAAAGTATATAATTAATGAACTCTTTTTCTTATGCAATAAATTGGCTTTTTACAACGATTATATGACAATATCTTTGATAATATTAAGCTCAATGCTAAGCATAGAGATGATATGTAGTTAGGTCATCAACTTTTTTAAATTTTGCGCTTTAGGTTTTGTCAAAATAATGTCCGGCCATTTCTCAATGTTTTGCTTTCGCATAAATTTATTTTTAATAGAATTTTAAATTAGTGAGATTTGCTTTCAAAAGCCTTTTTTTGCTCCATTTCAAAATATTTTTTTTTTGTAATTTGAATTTGAATGCTGAAAAAGTTTTACGATTTGTCGAACGAAGCCATCGCTTAATTTTTTCATCGTTGCGTTTTTTTTATTTTCATCACAAAAAATCCAGGAAAAATAATCAATCTGGGGGAAAATTGTCATCATGTTTGACAGAGAATATGGAGTCATGTAAGTTCGTTGTTCTTTTTCCAAAATTTTTCATTTTATTTTTTAAAACAAGTTTATTGAAAATTATAATCTATAATGATTTATTTTTATTTAACTTATTATAACTTAGTTATTATTAAATTTTTTTATTCACATTGCTGATTAAAAATTGTTTAGGAGGCCAGCCCCATTCATGGGCCACCCAGATTATAGGATTCATGAGATGAATAGGCGACTACAACAGAGAATGGATGTATGTGTGGGCTTTTGTCATACTTCACCTAATAATTTTTCCAATATATAAATAAATAATGTATTTTTATTCATTAATGCTATAAAGTTTTTTTATATTTTTATTATTTTGTTAATTATTTCTTGATGATGTTAAATGTTAATGATGTCTATTACAATAATAATCATGGTGATGCTTCAATGATGTTGTCAAAAACATATGGTGGGGATAATTATATTACCAAAAACATTATATAGTGATAATAATGTCATCAAAAACATTAAATAGTGATAAAAATATTGCCAAAAGTTTTAAATAGTGATAATGATATTACCAAAAACATAGGACAGTGATAATTTGTGGTGGGATGCATTTGCCACAGAGTTTTTTGAAGATGACGCTATATTAACATTGTCATTCACATTGGAGGATGGCCCTAAGAGATATTGTTAGTCAGTTAATGGTGATGATAATGATGATGATGAGGGTAATGATAATGATGATTATGATGATCATGATCATGACAATTTTTAAAACTTCACATTTTAAATTAACATTTCTTTTCTTTGTAATTTTCTAACATGGATTCATTATTTCATATTTCAATTCACCATCGTCATTATTAACCTAATTTCTCAAAACCACTACCATCCATATTCTATTTTTAGCAATCGGCCGAAGTCTCATACCGCGCTATTTCCGAAGTTTGTTTGAGGGAGGTGTTACTGACTTATATTACGTGTTGAAATACTGCAAAGAATCATTTCAAAATACTTCTATAGTACTGGACTGTGAACAAGCTCACGTTATATCTTACCATGGGAAGAATGTTTTCACTAAGGTTTGATGGATAGATGGATGAATTTGTTTTATTGAATATAAATGAAAATTAATTTTTTAATGAATTAAAATTAAAATTAATTTTTTTCAAAAATTCAAAGGTTGTGACAGA